CCAGTGCCACATCTTTGCCAAAATACCCACGAAATGAATGGCTGACACTGTTGTAACTCCTGAACTTCAGCACCTGCATGTCCTTGAGGGAACCCTGATAGTTCATGTCCCAAAAAGCTCTTGTTGGCACTACAGAGCGGTCACCCCACCTCTGGCTTTTCACACCAGCAATGCAATCACATCACATACCACATACCATCACTGCCAGTGTCACAGCACAGGGGAAACCCCCAGAGCTGCTCATTGACATGGACCATTGCCATACACTGTCACCTGGACGGAGGGCACAAAGCTGGAGTCCCAAGCAAGCAGCACCGTACCTGTTTCTTCTTTTCTTTCTGCTCTAAAATTTTCTGCAGGTGTTTCTTCTGTTTCTTGCTCAGGGGTTTCTTCTGCTGTTGCACAACACTGGCCACTTTTTTCTTCTTTGCTTTCTTTGCTGGCAGGACCAGGGCGTTGCTTTCATCAATTCCCTTCAGCGTCACTTCATCTGAAAACACACATTCGATCACTCACCGGTGCCACGGGGTTATTTGCAGCACAACAGGCTCACCACAAACCAGACCAGATGTAGCACTTTGAAACAAACACAACCCTCACCCCCAGCCAAAAATAAATCCCTTATCAACAGTAAGGGTAAAAAGTCTGTGAAAGGGAGACTCTAGTTCTCTTAGGTGCTTCCTCAAGTTGTGAGGGTAATCTTCACTGACTTACACAATACTACAGAACTTCTGCCTTTTTGACCACAGGCAGAGGAGCCTGGCACATGAGTGTCTTGGGGCACCAGGCGTAATTTTTAATACTAAAAACTTCTATTATTAACGTTTGAATGATGACAGCAGTATAATAAATGTGGGGGTTTAAAAGCGATATTTGAGAATGCAAATGCTAAACCTAAGAATATTCTTAATAATCGCTTTGACGAAGATTTGCTGAGATGCAGGAACTGCTTCAATAGAGCTAGAGATGCAAGGCCTGGAAGAGGCTCTAAACTAACGCTTCCAATAGAAGCATCCTAGAACTACAGCACAGACCCGACGCTAATCCTCATCTCAGCAGCTCTGATCTCACTCCAGCCCCGTTCACAGCCCAGGTTCGCAGTAACGAACACAGCGCGCAGGACGCGGAGCGCCGGGCCGGGTGCTCCCCACTCAGCCTGCAGGCCGGGCTCCCCCGCACCTCCCAGCTCCAGCGGCAGCTCCAGCGGCTCGGCGGCGGGCGGGGGCTGCGCCGTGCCCGGCTGCATCCGCGCCTTCCAGTTGTGCCGGCGGCGCGCCCGGCCCATGGCGGAGGCTACAGCGGCGGCACCGGCGGCAGGGGCCACACGTGAGGGCCAGGGCGCTACTTCCGCGGTAAGGCACCGTCTCGCGAGAAAGGGCCGCGGCGCCGTGCGCAAGCGCAATGGGTATCTCGGCCCTGCGGGGTGTGCCCCGGGTCCTCCTGCCCGCCCGCCCGGCGAGCCCATTCCCGCTCCCTCCCAGCCCAGCGTGCTCCGGAGCCCCCCTCGCGTGAGCCGGCAAAACCAAGGCAAGTGAAGCTGTGTAGGGCAGTCAGGGCTCAGTGCAACGTCCCGGTACAGGTTTATTGTAAGCTTTGTCACAACAGCACGGCCGGTCAGTGAAACTGGCCTACAGATAGGTAACTACACAGCACATGGACTGGGCGCCCAGAGAAGGCATCAATAAGGTAGGTATAGCTCCGTAAAAAAATCAGTCCCGCAGACTTCAAACCACTTAGTATTATCAGTGGAAGCCAATGTTTCCCAACGGATCATATGTCAAAAGTCTACATACGCTATCTCTTCAGACCAAATTAATTTGTACATAACCACAACCATACAAACTCAAACATGATTAATCTTGAAATCCCAAATGGAATCGCAAACATCAGTGCTGATAAAGAGTGCAACCACAGCAAATACCACTTGTGGGGGAAAGGAAAAGATCAGTTTTGAAATGTGCTCTTATCACAGTTCGATGGAGTTACCCAAAAGTTTAAAATACATGCGGATACAGTAAAATCTTTTATTTTCCAACCCAGACAAAAAGAACTTAACGGTCATTTACATCATTAGCTGCCAAATACAGATCAGTACGTGAGGCAAATCACACTTATAAACTTCTACACCATCAAAGAGCTAGGATTGATACTGGTCTATTTTCCACACTAACGATGCAACAAGTCTTAAAAAGCAAATCACAATTTGCAGGACGCACTACTGAAGTACAGCACTGAGTTACACCAGGTTTACACATTGCACTCTGACACCCAAAACCACTTTGAGAAGCGTTACATTCCGCGCACAGCACATCAGCTATCGCGAGGCGAGGTGCGTACTTCCAAAGAAACTGCAATGGGCATTAAGTTTGGTGAAAATGAATGTGTTGAAAATATTACAGCAATTTCAAATATTAGGTCTTAAAAGTAACACTGTCTAACACATGAAAGATCCTACCAGAATGTCTGATACCAGACAGCCTGAAGCCCGTCTGAAACAGGTACACCAGGAATGTTCATTCAAGCAGACACTGCAAACAGGAGGTCAATAATGGGAACCGTTTTGGCAGAGCTGCCCTGGGCACTGTGGCCAAACAGGGTGCTCTCTGTGGCCACCTGAGCCTCCCCACCACAGTATCCACCAGGGAGAGCAGTGATGCTGCTACCTGCCCCTGGTTAGGCTGCCAGTGCCCAGGGCAAAGGCCTGGAGCTCCAAAATCGAGGGGATTACCCCCATTTCTACCACTGACTCTGGTGGGTTGGTCCAATTCTGCATCTCTGTTTACCCACAGGTGACCAGGCACATCTCATGTTACTAGCAACCTGCTGTCACCAGGGCGAGCTCTAAAACCAGAGCAGAACCTCGATGGATAAACTAGACGGCTTGGGATGGAATATACTTGTAAAAGGTATTTACAAAAGTTGAAAGAGATTAAATACAATGCCACATTCATGTCCCGAAAGCGCTTTCACTACAGTGCATGTTTAAAAATACAGAGCTTTTGTAAAGTACATATATTGAAGATTAGATTGTGCTTTAACAAAAAAAAAAAAAATCATTACTTCTGAATTTGACTAACAAGAAAACTGAGTGCTGGGAAAAATACTGATTCAAAACACCCAATTTTATATATTCTGCTTTTCACATAACATTTTGCTATACATGGGATGCAAGTAAATATAAAAATACCTTTTTATTCAAGCAGCAAGGGGATCAAAATGAACAGTATTAATATAAGAGGGGTTTTACAAAACTAAGGTGATTAGAGCGAGCCAGGGAGAAACTATAATCCAAATTAACCGTTAGACAGTATTCTAAAAGAAGTCTTTATCATAGACAACTCTTAATATAGAAACAAGTCAGTATTTGGAACTTTAACATTAAATATAGATTATGTAAAATACAATCTACACCAAACTGACTCACGTTCAGAGTCCCGAGGAAGCCGGTGAAGCCTCTCACATGAATGAGCTTTGGTCCTCAGGCCTCAAAACACCTAAAGACCTGACAAAGCTTTGCCAGTGGATTCCGAACTTCCAGGTTGGTGTTTCAGCTCAGTCCTCCATGCTTAGAGCAGGGAAAAGCGAGCTTATAGGGAAGACTCTGTAATACTATGGAAAATGAGCTATAAAAAGGATTATACTGTAATTGCCATTTTCAGCTTTGCCAAGCAGACTGTGGCTGCAGTACTTATCTGTTCACAGAAAGGTTTTACATTATGAAAAGCAGTTACTTTGCAACTCTAAATGTGCATGTCTGGAAAAAAAATGGGGGGGTTTATAGAGGAAATAAGAAATTAAAATGTATTACACCAGTGCCAACTGCATATGAACTTCAACCGTGTTGAACTTAAGTGACCACGGTTTGGAGTAAAGGCCATTAACATGGATTGGAAAATAATCCCTCACATAAATGTCACAAAGAGCCCAAATGAGATTAGGCAAGTAACACGTTTTAACAGCATTAAACTTCAGCAGAAAGAGAAAAATAAACTCCCCCCACAGCTACATTCAGTGAAGCATCACATCCAACAGAAGCTCTACCCAGCGAAGCAAGAAGCTGAAGCCCATGAGCAGAGCTGGAGCCGGTGCTCACGGGCGAAGCAGCACCTCCTGGTATTTGCTCCCCTTGCTTGTCAGCCAGGCCCTATCACAGGCCGGTTTTTGTTGCGTTTTTTCCTTCACTTGGTCATTTAGACATTATGGAATACATAGTTCTTCAGCTGTGGTCCATTTTACCCCCCATGATGCTGATACTGCGCTCATCACCATGGTTTAGCTGCTATCCCTCCCTCCCCTCATCTATACCCTCAGACGCCACACGCGTTACACCACGTTCTGGCCTCTCTTCCCTGAGGTTACCTTTGTTTCAATGCATTTCAGCACACCTTACACAGGCAGTGGCAGTCTGACAAGCCACTTAACTCTAAGGTTACAAATACATAGAATCCTTCAAAGCTCCTACACCCCTTCAGAACACAACCGTTTAATACACCTTTCTCATAAGGTGACTCACTTTCCCCAGAAGAGTGAGGACACAGACTTCAAGCAAAAAGCTCCTATAAAACTGTTACCATTTTAGAAAAAAACCCAGATCTTCCTGAAGATAATTTATTGCCGCTTATTGGTCCTGAGAAAGCTTTAAGCAACAATACATTTGCAAGTGGTTTCACTGCTGCCTCTTTTGAGAAAGTACATGGGTCCCGACACTAAAAATCATGGTTTACTCTATGCTTGGAAAAAATGCTTCACTGTGAATATCAAGTAGGAATTACAATTTGCCACGCTACATCTCCTCCCTTTGTGTCAAGAGCTTTCCTTTCAGACACCAAATTAAATTCTCCAGATGAAATGCAATGCAATAATGCCACACATGCGCTTCTTAACTCCTCCTGTGGGACTGCCATTAAAGAGCTTTGAATCTATGAAATCTTCCTTCTCCCTTATTCCCCACCTCCTATTAAAAGCCACGGTGTGAATTTTTTGGCCTGGATACCAGAAAATTCCTCATCTGATACTCTATGAAAGGCAACTTCAAGGCAATGAAATAAGCCAAGAATAAAACAAAAACACAAGTTTGGAAGAAAAAGAAATGGGACCCACAGCAGTTACTTCTCAATGGAAGTGTTTGGTAGCTTATTTTTTTTGTTCTTTTTAACTTTTAAAGTGTCAAATTTGCATATGTTTTAGCTCAATTTCAATATTTGAAAGACTACTCAATTTGCTTTTATAAAAACTCTATAAAAGATGTTTTTAAATGCTTGTAAAAGTAAGCGTTTATCTACTGAGAAAATTCGAGTACTGGATAAAACTCTCTGAATATACAGCTGAAGTTCTTAAACGTGTTTTTTTTCCTACAAGTATAATGGCTGAGTGTATAATCTAGATAAATTAGTCTCACACATGATGAAAAGTTATAACTTTTGCACACTTTTTACCATGTGATGTTTTGTTGCTTTGTAACTTCAAACGAGACAGTGCTTAGGAATTTTCTAGAGCTGGTGTACAGTGGTCTATAGGGGCTGGTTCATTGATTACTGCCTCTGTCCAGGTTCTCAATCAGCCGAGAAAGACGAATGTTCAGAAGTCTGATCTGACTGTCAAGGTGGTCCATCTTCTCCTCAAGGCTGCTGCTGCTGTTTCTTCTCCAGTAAAATCCAACTGGCCCCGTCATGAAGTAGACTGCTACAACAAAGCAGAGAGGCAGGACGGCGTGTTCCGGGTCACCTTCATACTTCTGGAGGATGTACACGCACGAGAGAGTGAAAAGGGCAACCCTCGCAATCCAGAAGAAACGACCAAACAGCATATGCAGGAGATAGAAGAAGAATCCAAGGAAGAGATATAAAAACCAATAGGCAAGTAAAATGGCACCAATCAGTAGAAGAGCACGGGTTGGGCTGTTGGCAATTGCTGCTAGGCTGAAATAATGAGTCAGGTTGGAGGCTGAAAAACAAAGGGAAAGTCACAGAGTATTAATGAGAACATGCCAAATGGTAATGGTAAAAACGCAACACAATGTCCAAGGGTCATGCAGCGGGGTCACAGCTCTGACTTTTCTAAAGGAAGGGGTAAAGCTACTTCATCCTTTTCTGGATGGGCCTTCTTCAAATCCCTGGCTCAGCTCCAGTGATGCAGTTGAATTAATTCCTTTAAAGTAAGGGTTCTTTAAAGACAAACTATTGCAGGGCCTAAGGTCAAAGCTCATACTGAGGCTAAAGGTCCTCTTTGTGAAAGTTATATTCTGAGGCTCTCAACTGTATCTTTCCTTCTAGTCCTCCTTTATCTTCCCACATTGTTCCTGGCTGCGTGCATCTATGTAGTGATGATACAAAGAAACCACCCATGACTTTTAATGCCCTTTATAGACATAGAAACAGAATGACTAGTTTTAGACCTCTTGTTTGAAGGTACTAATAGAAAATCAAAGGCAAGTGAAGCAGATAGGTAGCACTGAGGGATGCTTAATGCAGCATGATAAAATGTTCTTGTCAACACTGGTACAGGCTGATAGAGCTCAAGAGTTAACAGGCGTTACACTTACCATCAATTCCAAGAACATCTAACAAATCAGTCCATATTCTCCAGAATGTGTCCATTAATACATCCACCCCATTGACAAACCTCTCTGTCAGCCTTGAGAAAAACTGAGACATAAAATTGGAAATTAAAAAAATGAAAATTCTCAGTTCCTTAAAAATGCTTCTGCTTTGAGACTTACTATTAGGAGAACTGTAACTCACTAAACAAGAACTGCAGGTTATTTTGAAGTCCTCAGGGAAAACTAATGCTTTTCAACTTTGCAAATCATAAAGGTACTTATTACAATTGTCCTTATCCCGGGTGTATTTTGCCATGTAAATGTATATAATAACAGGATTTTAAAAGGCACTTTATTAGCTTTACCATTGCTCTGAAGTTTAAAGAGAACACTATTTATTACTAGCAACAGACATTGGTAAAGCAAACCAGAGAATTACCAGGCGCCTAAGAAATGTCCCGGGCATTTCACTCAAATGTCTCAAGTGCATTTACAGGTCAATTTAACAGTATTTAATATTCCTTCCTCCTGGCTGAGGCAAGCAGGGCCAGAGGAAGGCAGAGGTCTGTCTGCCCGCATGCCTGATTCCCTGGCAAGTTCCTCTGTGGCCCTACAAGCACAGGATGCTCTGCTGATGCAGACACAATATTTCAATTGCAGGGCTCCTCAGCGACAGCGCTCTGCCCTGGCCGTCTCCCCCACCTCAATTAGCCTTTATTTAGAGATTTATTACATTAATATTTCTTGCATTTCTTTTCTCCGCATTATGCCTCGCCTGCCGTTTTTCTTCGTTCCAGCCGCTGGGCCGCCCCAGCCCCGGCTCTCACAGGCGGCGAGGCCGGTCCATGCTGAGTACCTACCAACAGCGGGGCTCTGCCTCACAGAACCTCCTGCTCAGCCCGGGGAGCAGCGGCGTGGGGAGAGAGCGCGAAGGGAAAGAAAGCGAAAGGTTTACGGGGAGGAAGCGGGCCGGAGCCTCACCTTCTGCAGGGCCCGCACGTTGTCCTCGCCGAAGAGGCCGCTGACGCCCTGGTAGAGGCCGCTGGCGGCGCGGCGGAAGCTGTTTTGCTTGTCGGCGCCGCGGCTCCGCGCTGCCCAAGCGCCGGGTCCCGCCGTGCCGCCCAGCAGCAAGGCGAGGAGCAGCAGCAGCGCCGGCAGCCTCTTAGCCGCCATGGCCGCCCGCGCTGCGCCCTGCGCCCGGCAGCGCCGCGATTGTAGCGCCGCCTAGAGGCCGTGTCACAAACTCCGCGAGCGCACCGCCCCCTGCCCGCAGCCCCCTCCCCTTAAAGCGGTGGCGTTCTTAAAATCACAACATGATCATTTCGCTTCAAACGGGACATGCGAAGGTTTTCTTTGCGTCCATCCCCCCTGAGACAAACCGGCCTGATCAAGTCTATGGCTGCGACCAGCCTCAGAACAGCTTGCACCTGGGGTGAGCTTGTCCCGGGCTAAAACCAGCCCCAGTAGTCAACCTCTGCCAGTGTTCGACCTGGGGCAGCATCTAGCCTGTTCCAGGCTCAGTTTTGTATTTAATAATCCAATTGGCCAAAATGTTCTTTCCCTACTGTGTAACCAGGATCTCCCGTGGCTCAGCTTAGGGCTGTTGGCTCTCCTACTGTCAACGTGCACCTTCCAGAAGGTTCTGGCCATTTCCACCCAGGCAGGTGTAGGCAGGGATATGGTCTTGCCTTTGCCCTTTCCAAGCACTTTCAGGCACCCTGTGCTCCAGCTCCCAGCCCTGCATCAACACCCACCTTGCAGCATGGAGCCTACACTTGGGCATGCTGCTCCGGATGGATCTTGGAAGGGCCAGGCGGAGGGAAAGGATCACATCCCTCAATGTGTGGCCTCTTACTAACACAGACCAGGGTGCTGCTGGGCCACATCGCCAACTCACGATCTTGGCCCCCAGATCCTCTCCTGTAGAGCTTTTAAATGATTCATCTGTCTATTTGTGCTCTAGGACTCATTATAGTCTGTACAAAGTATAGCCTTTCCTGTGTGGGTCTCCTAAGGAGACTCCCAGGCGCAACCCCCAAACAACAAAGGCAATGTAGAAGTCTGATCTCAAAAAATGACATTTTAACAACTGCCAGTCGAGGTATTCTGAAGGACCTCGTGTCCTTCACCCTTGAGACGCTCTGACTCAGAGGTATAAGCCAAAATTCAGCACACTCAATGGTGTGACTCCCTCTTCAGACAGGTTTTGTGTTGATTTTTCCTGACCAGGCTAATAAAAGACAGGTTGGGAAGAATAAACTAAATGTTATCAGCTCCTTCTGGGTAGTGAAACCCAACCAGGATGTTAGCAGAGTGAGGTAAGAATCCCCAGGAGACAGAAAAGTACTTTGCTGCCTTCAGAGCATGTTTGATTCATCATTCATTGACAGAAGCCTGAGTTAGACAAGCCAGGACTACAAAGGCAGCAATGTAAAAACAGACCCATGGGTTTGTGGTACTGATTGTGCGCTAATAGATGATGCCATCTAGGGCAGAAGGGGTTTATTGAATTGCCCAGCGGTAATGCCTCCAAGGCATGGGGGATCCCAACGCCCTCCCCAGAGCTTCTCACTGTGCTCGGGATGGTGCAGGCGGTCCATGACCACATCTGCACCCCATCCAGGATCTCTGCTCTCTCTGGCACATCTCTACTTGCACTCACCCCTTCCCAGGGGCTCCCAAAAGTCAGGGGTGCAGCTTGTAGCTCTCCCAGACACTGGAATAACTCTAGGTATCTCTATCTGATTTTAAACCCCGTGTCCTTGACTTTTAAACCTCATAAGCCCAGTTTCTGAGCAGTTGAACAGACATCTAGAATACAGACATCTTTCCTATGGCCTTTTCCCTAGTTTTAGTCTGGCCAAAACACTTATTTTCACATTTAGCAGAATGGCCAATACCTTTCAGCATTATTTATAGTCGGCTCTGAGAGGGTTGGGCCCAGATCCAGGAAGGTACTTAGGGTCCTACTTGATTTCAGTAGGACACAGATTCTTTATATATTTATAAATGGTGCTTTCATGCTTTATTAAGGTGGTCCTGAAACTGCTGACATGTTATAACACCTGTGTATATTCTGAAGTCTATCTCACATTCTTCCGAGACAGATTGATAACTGATGGCAGGTATTTTTGAGGCTCTTACAAGGTTCTGCTCTCAGTGTCCTGCTGTGCCTAGACTGCCAGAGCATAGTAAAGTGTCCTCTTGTAGGGCATTTCTTGTGTGTAAAGAACCTTGTGGTATAAAACCATGATAGTAATGTCATTAACTGTACTGAGTGATGTTTTCTGTGCCAGTTATAACTCCTCAATTTGCTTACAGCTGCATGGCCATCTTTAGGTCCCTTTGTGCTGTTTCTGGTCTGATGAGTCTTGTTTCTGTGAATTTGGGATATTCCTATTTCTCAGCATGAGTTTCTGTCATGGTACCCCCTCAAAATCACTTCTGCCGTGCTTCTTGTTTCTTTCATCCATTCCTTACCGAGGCTCAGAGGCCTGTTTCAGTGCCTGCCTTTGGGAGCCTGAGCTCAGGGTTGTCCTTCGTATGAGGTCACGATAATTTGGGAATCTTCCCTGGTATTTAATTGACTTCCTGACCTGCCTCAATGAGCCTATTTCAGGTACATTCACCTCTCCAAATCCACAGCTCTTATGAAATTACACGGTACTTCACCCTTCTTGTTTAAATAAACGAAATCACATCTGCTCAAAGAATACATTGCATCATGACATGAAATACTGATCTCAACCACAGTGAACTTTGTAATTAGGACAACTAAGGTTTCTAGAAAGGGCCTCTGATGAGGGTCTACAGAAGAAGTATGAGTGTACTTCTCTGTCTCCTGGTCTGCACTAGAAGCTGTGTAAGGTGTCTTACTCAGATATAGGCATTTAACAACAATCTGAACAGTACTTATATTAATTAGGTTCTTCTAGAGTCAAGGTTTTAGCAGATCATAGGGCTCACTCATTTTAAATCATTTTTATGCTAAAAAAATGGTGTAGCCATAAAGAAATCCAACTGGTGTTACTGTGAACCAGTCCTTAACTTCACAGACCCTTATTGTTGGCTTCACTTCAGCTCACATCCTCAACTTGGCCACTAGTTTTGCTGCTAGCCCTGAGGGTTTTCTTGCATTGTGTCACAGCTTCTTCTCCTTCTCTTTCTGCAGCTGATTTTGATTTTGACACCTGGTTACTTGCACTCCTGACACAACACAGAGGTTGATGGCCACTCTGAATATAGGTTAGATTTCCTAATCCAGGAAATCCTCGGGATACTGCACAGATTGCTGTGAGTTATTAGCAGGAAGATTCTCTCACAGGTCCCTGCATTTCAGCATTCCCTTTAATTTCACAGACTGACTGCACAGAGGAGGTAGTGCCATCATCATCATTATTACTGTTAATCAGTTCTGCAGCATCTTTTGAAGGGCCTCTAATCTAATCTAAAGCAGGAAACATGATTTAATTTTCAACCTATTATTGCCATCGGTAGCTATAAAGCAAGGCTTAAAAAGGTTGCAAAATGGTCAATTCCAGGTAATCTTATTCAGGCTGTTTTCCTCCAGCTATCCTAATCTGGTGTCCAAACTATTTTTCTAGTCACTGCAGTCCTCTTAATGCCCATTTTCTCATTAAAGGCTTGTTTAATCTTTATTCATTTTTCTTCCATTTTTTCTACTTTTGAAAGAAGGAAAAACTGACCTGGATAAGGCAAAACCAGAATGGGAGCAAGGAACATGGAGGCATAACCCACTCTAATTAAGGCTGCAATAGTAAACCTGCTGTTAATAAATCTGAAGCTCGGCCAGGCTTTCCTAAAAGCCCAAGTTTTTTCATTAAATTCCCAGCGCACCCCTTCCTCCTTGAACAAGTGGGTCAGTCCATTTTAAACCGTGCATTTTTCAGCTCAGTGAGAGGGTTTTTGGGTCTCTTCTCAGGTGATTTGGTTGCACATTTTCTTTTGCGATGCACAGGCTGCTTTGGGAGAAGGAAAGATGCTCGTTTGCGGTGATTTTACAGCTTAAATCAGGCAATATCAGCACCGCACAGGCCCCGACGCCGGACTCGCCTCAGCGCTGAGGGGAATCACAGAGGGACCCCACCCCGACCGCCGGGCAGGATGAGAGCTCTCCTCCTATTGGGCACACCTCCTTCTGATCCGGCCTCTCATTGGCCGGAAGAGAAAAGAGTTTGCAAAACCTTTGCGCCAATTGGTTCTTGGCGGTGTCAGCTCTTTCATCGTCAGCTCAGCCGCGAGGAGCGCGGGCACTGGGCTGATGTGGGGCCAGGCGCACGGCAGCCAATCAGGCGCGCCGGCGTCACGGCCGCCGTGCGCCGCGCGGGATCCGTCCGCAGCGCCTGAGGGGCGGCGGCGGCGGCGCTTGGGCTCGGCAGCGAAGGGCGGGCGGGAAGCGGCGGGAGGCGGCGGAGTGTGGCTCCCTCGGGGGACGGGATTGGGGACGGGGAGCGGCCTCAGAGCGGGGCCGGGTAAATTAAAGGGAGGTAAAAATGGGACGTGACAGGTTTGATTCCAGTTCTCGCATCGAGCCTGCTGGCCGGGGCGGGTTCACCAGGTGTCAGGTGCAGCTGTGAGGGAGCTGTAGAAAACCTGACCTGAAGCTCAGGCGGACACGCCCGAGCAGGGCAGGCTGCACTTCAACCGGGTGTGAGGAGATGCGCGGGGCTAGGCCTGTCCTGGGCATCCCTACCAGAGGGCTGTGGTGTGGGGCAGGAGGCAATGCCCTCATGACATCTGACCCTGGTAAAACCTGACGCTGGCAGTTGCACAGCAATACTCTCTGTGCCAAACCAGCATATATATATATCCACATTGGTTAACACTGTTATCGCAGTAGGTGTCTTCACAACCCAGAGGGCAAAAACCAGAAGTTACCTTTCCTGTGGGTGTGCAGAGATGGAGTTTGTAAATAGTTTCTCTCCACCACAAGCCGGCTGTCACAGCAAAGCCTGTGGGGCTGGGGCACAGTCACCATGCTCCTGTGCTGCCTGTGGGGCTTTGGTAGGGTGCCCTGTGCCATTGATTTCACACCTCCACTGATGGATCTGAGCACAGCTGCAAGGCAAGGCAGGTGTGTAAAAGCAGATAAGGTGCTCTGATTCCTCCTCCAGCCTCTCCATGTCCTCCAGGCTCTGAAGAGTTATTTTTTTTTTTTCATGCTTCTATGCAAGGTCTAACTTGGGGCAAATAGAAATTGTTCAAATC